GTTTACACTTAAATCTGTTCGTTACCTTATTTGCATAATTAATTTTCTGCGTTTTCATCAACATCTTAAGTTCAAGTAATTTTGAATTAATTTTTAATGTGTCTCCAATACTCTCAGCACACGGGAGTTCTTTCTAAGCTTTCTTTGATTTTTTATTTCAACCCAAAACACACCTTTAAAACTCTTATTTTCCCAGCATCGAGATGGCTCTGCCAACTCTTGTTAAGTTGTTCTCAGTCATATACATTTTTTTCTTGCATGTATCATACTTAATGAAGGGAAAGTTATATGGGAAAGTGTCTGTCTTTGTTGTATTTTGGCTTGTTAAAGTAGAAGCCTACTCATCATTTTTGAGAAAGTTGGTCACAAATCGCATGACAATGTTCATTGGTTTATTATTTAAAGTCATGGAGCTATTGTCCCATGGCACCATAAAATAACATTCTTTTGTGTGTTACAGTGATGTATTTTGAGAAACTTTTCAAAAATAGCTATTTTTATAACATTTCCATAGAGCGCAATGTGAAATAAAAATTGCATTTTTCGACACTTTTTAAAACTGAGATTTTTTTAAAAATTCAGGAAAACAAAATACATTTTCAGCCTACATTTTCAGATATGGCATAATATCTCTGCCATAGTAACCTATGGTAAAAGCACTATAATACTGCCAAAACAGTCGCTATTCACTAAAATACAACCATGGGTATTTGAAACCATAAGTAGACTTCTACCTTAAAGGGTCTATGCTGTGATTTACAAATACTTGTTTTTTTTGTAGGACATATGTATTTCTGCTGTGAAAGAAAAAGATATTGAAGCTAAGTTGTCACAAGTTATTGCTGAGTGGAATGCTCACAGTTTATCATTTTCATCATTCAAAACCCGTGGTGAATTGCTGCTGAAAGGTGCAGAGACTGCTGAGATTGTGGCTCTCATGGAAGACAGTTTAATGGTCTTAAGTTCTCTACTTAGTAATAGGTAACATGATATGTAAATCATATTATAAGCTTATCGCAAATTATGCACAACGGCAGTATTGGGTCAAAGTAGCATTTTTGAAGCAGATTTGAATGAATATTATTCAATGAATTAATTACAAACAGTGAAGATAACTGGCTAATAAGTCAAACTTAGTATACAGACAATGTATGATAACCTACATATGCACGCCAATTTTCGTTATGATTTGATTAAATATGGCTGACTGGCAGCCATTTTGTCCCTCAAATTTGCTATATTCTGATATTTAAACATTTCCAGAACTGTTCAGGGCGATTTCAATCAAACTTTGTATGGTGATCATGCATATTAGGTTATAGGTGCATGTCACTTTTTTTCGAGATTCAGTTCAAGATGGCCGACTGGCAGCCATTTTGTTTTTTTCTGTTTTCATGCTGATTCCTCCATAAGATATGTCCTGATTCAGTTCAAAGTTTGTACATAGGTACTATTCTTCAAGATAATACAACACCATATTTTGTTTTGAGATTTGATCAAATTTGTCGAAATGGCGGCCATTTTGTTTAATATCTTAAAATCAGTCTGTAACGTGTTCGGAATTGTTTCTCGGAGGTGAATAGGGCGATTTCAATCAAACACATGCATGTTATATTTTTTTCAAAATTTCGACCAAGGCGGAGCTGAACAGGCAATATGACCTGATTCAGTTCAAAGTTGAATAGGGCATTTTCAATCAAACTTTGTATGATGACCTTACATATTACGTTACTGTGCAAGCCATATTTCTTTTGGAGATACAATACCCGACTGGCTGCGTTTGTC